GGGTTATAAGTTGTTCGTGTTTTATGGCGCTCGCAACTGCATACGTTCATATGAGCACGCGGGACTCATTTTCAGTTTTGTAGGAATTTTGAATTTTGCCCGGGTGGCGGCTGAAGCCTACTCTTACTGAATTTAGAACCACTAAGGCAGGGGCGGATCGTGGGGCTAAAAAGTGGGCGTGCACAGTTAAGCTATACATGTAGCAGACTGCAGGTTGAAGATAGTCAAGGGCATAGAAATGGATTGTCGCTTTGATTTCAAGAACTAAATATGTTTGTTAGTTAAACATCAATTTCTTCATCCTGCATTGGAACTCAACACTCAAGTAATAAATTTCACCACTCCACTACGAAACCATTCAAAGGCACAACTCACAAGACGCACGACGGTGACTTAAGTATGTCACGTGCGTTCACCTCCCATTCAGGTTCACCATCACAGAGTCGCTTAAAATAGTGGCAAGACAATGAACCAACCACAATTCACTTGAGCACTCCGCTGAATTGCTCTGGAGGTCACGTAATTTTGGCATAGAATAGAGTGCAGTCTATCGAATTTATTTTTAGACTCCTACTGTGGGCTATGTCTCGTGGGTGCACATTTGAGAAGTACCGTCTTATTAATACATGTATTAATTTAATGTACCGCCAAACTCTCTATGAGTGTCGTCATCGTTTGGGTTGTCCCAAAGAGCGATTTATAGGTCAAGTTACCCCTGTTGAATATCCAATTATGTTTCGTTAAAGCGCATAACTTTGGCATGGCAAAGTAAATGTTTTACGGCGCTTTTGACACAGAAATGACAGTTAAGGCGCCAGCGACGACCTTGTTTTGAAATAATATTAGGCTAGTGTTTGTTTCTTACTTCTTTTATTTTCTGTTTGTGGATGCTTTTCGTAATATAACATTAAAAGATTTTGGGCAGCACTGCACGACCGTGCTCTATATACGAACAGCGTCTGCACTAAGGGATCTTTAACTTACGCAATTTGCGCAGGGACTTCTGAGATTTTTCGCCCTTATCCGAAAAGGCTAGGTGTTAGATCTTTCCTACCATAAGACCAGATGTGTGGCTGAAAGACAACAGTAAGACGGAGCCAAGGAATAGCAGTAGAAAGGCTGCAGAAAGAGTCAGGACCCCAGAAGTGGAGACAAAAGCAGACGACATAACATGAAAGAGAGCATGAAAGAAGGCGAAAGGAGAAAATTTTAAAGAAGGAAATTTTCCGTCGCTATCAAGTTTCGAACCCGGGACCTGTTGAATGAGAGGCGAACACCATAACCACTATACCACGAGAGGTGGAGGAGAATGGGATTGGGGGGGGGGGGTTAGTTCAGTCGGTATCATGCTGAGCTCTGATGGGGGAATGACCCGTGTTCCAATCTCCATCTGTCGAAGGATTAGACAAACACCCAGAAAGTCAGGCAGCTGCAAAACAAAGAAAATGTTGGATTGGGATCCACACTGCAAGAGATCAAGAGGGAGGCCACTTGGTACCAGGTGCAGAGTCATCAAGAACGATGTCGTGGTTAGGCTACCGGACTCGTAATCGTGAGGTTGCGGGGTCGGGGGTTCGAGCCGCGGGCCCGACGTTGTGTCCTTGGGAAAGGCACTTTACTCGAATTTTCCTCACTTCACCCAGGTGGGAATGGGTACTCGGCCATAGACAGCGAAAGATCTTGTCAGTATGTTAGTATTTTTGCGCCTATAAATGGCCGCTTGCACTGTATGCTTCCCAGGAAGTTGAGGTTGTTTCAGAATGCTCTCAGTTCTGCTGGGGTAGTAGTATAGATTGTGAAGCGCATAGAGCATGCTGGTGAGCGGGGATTTGCGCTATACAAATGCTATCTATTATTATTATTATTATTATTATTATTATGTACAGAGAAATGGAAAGAGACGGAATAAAGAAGCTAGACCAGGGAATTCTCTTTTTCGTTTTTTGATCACATGAAAAGCCCCTTAATTAATGACAGAAGCAGTTGTCAGCCTTCTGAATAAATTTTTTAAAATAAAAACACTAGGGATAGGAATAATGCTTGCATCTGTACGTTTGTGTGTGTGTGTGTGTGTGTGTGTGTGTGTGTGTGTGTGTGTGTGTGTGTGCTGTTTGAATCTGTAAGTGTGCCTTATGCGGCTTTTTAATGATTTTTTTTTCGGGGTAGGGGAGGAGATAGTGCAATAATAGCCAAGTCGTAATTTATAGTTGGACAGTACGCTCCAGTAGGAAGATACTTTGTGCTGTGTGGCCTTCGGCGAACAATAGTCATTGTAAGCTTGTGCTCTGTCATTACAACCGCTCCTGCCCACTGGACCCTTTAGCCTGT